CATTTTACACTTTATATCTTGTCAACAGCAATTTTCAAAACATTGTATCCAGAATGTAGACAAAAATAACCAACCATATGCACAGGTAAAATGGCAACGAAAAGAACAAACTGAAACGTGAAACAGAGACAGAAAATACATGGACCCTCTAGCTCAGACCTCTGATAGAAATACCATCAAGTTGCAAGTGTGAGCCACACAGGGAATTTTAAATACTCTAGTGACCACATTGAAAAAATAAACAGAAACTGGTGAAATATATTTTTACAATATTGTTAATATGTTTTAACTCACATTTTTTAACCAAAATTAGTATTTTAAAATGTCATCAATGGAAAAATAAATAATGAGACATTTGACATTTTTGTACTAAACCTTTGAAATTTGGTGTGCACCTTATACTGACAGTAAATCTCAATTCAAGCTAGTCGTATTTCAAGCTCTCAATAGCCTCATGTAGCTAGTAACTGCTGAGTTAGACCTTGCAGCTTTAGATTGTAGAATTATCTGGACAGGCATGGTGGCTCACCCCTGTAATTCCAGTATTTTAGGAGCTGAGGCAGGCAGATCCCTTGAGGTCAGGAGTTGGAGACCAACCTGGCCAACTTGCTGAAACTCCATCTCTACTAAAAATATGAAAATTAGCCAGGCATGGTGACACGTGCCTATAGTCCCAGCTACTCAGGAGACTGGGGCATGAGAATAAATTGAACCCAGAAAGCAGAAGTTACAGTGAGCCAAGACCATGCTGCTGCACTTCCGCTCAGGCGATCAAGAATGACTTTCTCTAAAAAAAAAAAAAAAAAAACAAATAGAATTATGAGGCAGGGATTTAAAAATAACTACGCTTACTATGTTTCAATAGATTAAAAATGAAAAAATCAACAGAAAAAAAATCATTACTTAGAATGTAAGGTATATGAAATATGGAATAATCTATACATGTGAAACTAAATAACTGAGATGAAGAACCCAACAGATGGCTTTAACAGCTAAGTAGACAGACCTGAAGAGAGAAGCGGGAAACTGGAATTCGGGTCAAGAGAAACCATCTGGAATGCGGTACAGGAAGACCGAGGGGTGGAAACATCAGAAGAGACAGTAAAGGACATGCAGACACTGTGGAGAGGCTCGCCCACATTTATATGGAATCCTAAGAGGACAGGTGAAAGATGACACAGAAGGCATATTTCCAGAGATACGGCTGCAGATTTTAAAACTGGCCAGGAGGCTGCTGTCAAATTGATTGTTTTTCCTCTTGATTGATTGTATTTTATCAATAGTTGTTTTTAAATGTTTCCCTTTTAAGTGTGTCTCTTCAAAGATATTCTTCTTGAAGACGACCTTTAAGATACTCTCCAATTTCATCACAATGCACCTAGGAGTGAATTTATTTTTATTTATTCTAATTGAGATTTGTTATGTTACCTAAAATTGAGAATCAATCTCTATCATAAAATCTGGAAAATTCTTAGCCACTAAGTTATTTGAAAATTTCCTCTCCCTCATTTTTTTCTCTGCTGATTTTATGAAATCTATAAATATAGAAGTGATAGGAAGTGAAAATGGATTTAATATAGTTCTAGCATCATTTTGTCTAAAAGCCAATGTTCCGTGAACACACTGTTGTTCTTTTCCCTCTGCAGACCTGAAGCAAGCACGGCTAGAAATGTGATTTTCTACAGAATTGACAGGCCGCTCCCTCTCAGACCCCAACCCTTCTTTTCTCCTTCTCTTTCCTCCTCGCCCCTTACCTTTCCCGTTTCCATTCCTGCTTTCAGACTCGTTCCTTCTTTGCTTAAAAGGCAAGATTTACCTGGCCCTATTGCACCCTAGACTCAAACAGTTTGCTGAAGGCAGCAGTTTGCTGTCTGTCATCACACTATGTTTTCTAGAAGATTCTATCATCATGAAGCACTCCCAGACTGGTTGAAAACCAAAGTTACTCCCCCCTTGGAAAATCTTTGTGGACACCCCAGTTGGCATTCAAATTTCCAAGTTGTGGCTGGGCGCAGTGGCTCATGCCTGTAATTCCAGCACATTGGGAGGCCATGGCAGGCGGATCACCTGAGGCCAGGAGTTTGAGACTAGCCTGGCCAACATGGTGAGACCCTGTCTCGACTAAAATTGCAAAAATTAGCTGGACATGGTTGCAGGGGCCTGTAATCTCAGCTACTTGGGAGGCTGAGGCAGGAGAATTGCTTGAACAAGGAGGCAGAGGTTGCAGTGAGCTGAGATCGTCCGACTGCACTCCAGCTTGGACAACAAAGGGAGACTACATCTCAAAAAAAAAGAAAAGAAAAAAAGGCAAAAAAATTACCAACTTGTGCCAGCCATGAGGTTCCCCAACCTCAATGCTGCCACCTTCAGGCCCCTGGGAGTTAACACCTCCGCTCCAGCTCCCCTCTGCACCTGTGGCTGTTCCTTTGAGCCCCATTCGCTCCCACCCTTAAGGGTGGTGGGAGGCTGAGTGAACCAGTGAATGAATGAGACAGCTGTGATGTCTCATTCATTCACTGGATTTTTCTCTCTATCACCCTTCAGGCTGACCAGGTGATGGAGAGAAAACTCCTCCTCTGTGGGTCTGAAAAACATGCCTGAGTCCTAATGAGTGAGTCTTGCATTCATTTCTAACCTCTCACGGTGACCCCAGGGCCAGGAAGAGGCCACCACCTGGGCTCAGAGCTCCAGTTCTCCTCAGGGTGGGCCTGGCATTTGCTGACTTCAGGGAGGGCGACAGGGCTCACAGCTGCAACGGGAGACCTGCCCTGCGTCCTTAGCACATGGAAGGACAAGGTTCATTGTAGAATCTGCTCATTTCCTCTGTGTTCATGCATTTGTCATTTTCCACATGCAGACATCCATGCCCAGAGAGCTGAGGATGCTCACACAAGAATATTCTGCCACAATATCAGCTGACTTCCATGTCTGAATGCATGGTTTCTAGATCACACCCATAACAGTCACCTTTGGGCCACTCTTATCCCCATCCTGGGCTGGCCTGAGTCTGGTGGCCAGATGCCTGCAGCAGGGGTGAGACAGAGGGCCCAGGTGTACATAGAGGCCCCTCCTCCTGTCATCTGGCTGTCCTCCTCCAGGTTATCCTGCCAGGCTTCTGCCTTCCTCCTGCTCCCCCAGTCACTGGCCCAGGTCACCCAGCCTCAGGGGTGGGGCTTCCAGGGTCTTCCCAGTGGCCTCCTCCCAGGATTAACCTGACTTCTGTCCCCAGCCCAGTGCACGGGAGGTTCTTCTTCCTGGACCCACCAAGCTCTGCCCCTCCCAGGTCTGAGAACTGCCCACCCCTGTGTGTCTGCTGTCCTCCACACCACCCTCCACGGGCACCCTCCTGCAAGGAGTCTCTAGTGCATCAGGCCAGCACCTTCCAGGTTCTTGTGTCCCTGCTCAGTCACAGAGATGGCTGCCATCCCATGCCCCTGTCCTAAAGCAAAGACAGGCCCTGGGCTTGGTCCAGGCCTCCTCCCCTTTCCCACAGCCTCAGGAGCCTGGAGATTAGTGGACACCAACTGCAGGGCCTCCCCACATGGAGACTGTGTGGAGTGGGAGATCTCTGCCTATTTTCTCATTCAGTGGGGAACAGGCTGAGTGGCTGAGTGAGAGTGGGATTCAGGGACTCTGCCCTCACCCCAGGCTAAGCTCTCCCTTGCAGCCAGGGGTCACTGGCCACCCCCACCAAGTCCCTCTGGCTTCTGTCCACAGTTCTAGATGGTTCCATGGTGACCGAGACAAGGATGCACTCGGGTTGCCCCTTGAGGATGGCTGCAGTGACCATCCAGGGACTGAGCAGAGGTGCAGGTGCAGCCACGGGTTTAGGTGTGGTAGGCCACAGAACAGTGTGTGTTGGAACTAGATGCTTGGTGCCGAAAACAAAAATCAGCACCTAGACAGATGATCTTTCAGCAACGCAATTTTAACTTCCTGGACTGCAGTAAGGGTACTCTCACTAGCCATCTTGCCTCGGGAGTACAATGAATAAAGGAAAACACATACATTTGTCCCTTAGGTATTTGGGGTCGTCCTTACTGCTGCATCTGACTGATCGCGGTTTGCTGAAGCCAGACCTCACAATCTAAACTAAAACCCGATTGGCTAACAACTTAAAACCTTTCTAAACAGGTAAAAGCAATGGAGAGCTGGGACATGTCTGTGAGCATGTCCAGCACAGATATTTTCGTTAAAGTACAGGGACATAGAATGTAGTACTGCCTGTAAGCATGGCATATCTAACAGCCACATAGGATAGGACCCAACAGAGTTATTAGCACATGCTTTTAGTGGAGAGGCAAAGAAGGTCCGCCCTGGACCGGGGAAGCGCCTGCGACCTAGGCGAGAAGGGTGGGGACTCCCGCGAGGGAGGCCGGTGTCTCTGGCGCTGGTGGTGACCGGAGCACACAGCGGCCACTGAACATTCCCGTGCAAGTTTCTTCACCCTCCTGTGCGTCAGTATTTACATTGGGGAAATAATAAATGCTGTGTGGAAAATTAAATGAGGTGGTCAGAGAAGGAACAGTGTGGCCAGGCGCGGTGGCTCACGCCTGTAATCCCAGCACTTTGGGAGGCCGAGGCGGGCTGATCACGAGGTCAAGAGATCAAGACCATCCTGGCCAACATGGTGAAACACCGTCTCTACTAAAAATACAAAAAAAAAAAAAAAAAATAGCTGGGCGTGGTGGCAGGTGCCTGTAGTCCCAGCTACTCTGGAGGCTGAGGCAGGAGAATTGCTTGAACCCGGAAGGCTGAGGTTGCAAAAAAAAAAAAAAGGAGGAGGAACAGTGTCCTGCCCCTACTTTGCGCAAGCGCGGGAAACCGGCAAGCGCGGGAAACCGGCAAGCGCGCTGGGAGCCTTGGGAGCCTCGGGAGCGGTGGGCGCTAACGGCGCGGAAGGCGCGGCGTGGCGACTCGGGCCAGCCTCGACACTATAGTAAAAAGGGCGCTTCCGCCTCTATATAAACCTTCTTGCGTGGGAGGACCCACACGATTCATCCCCAGGTCTCCGCATTGATCGCAACTCTCCTCCGCTGCGCTCCAGGACCCCGATGGCAGCCGCCGCCAGCACCGCGTTCCTTCTGTGCCTCGCGCTTCTGCTCCTGCTGTCCGGCAGGTCCGGGGCGCCGCGCGCCGGTGAGTGGGGAGGTGATGCCAAATCATGGGGGGCTGTGGACTGCGGCGGGTTTCAGAAGAGGGGAGACCGGCGCGATCTACCCGTACTGCGCCCCGCCCTCAACTCCCTTCCGCCGCTCCTTTCCTCCAGGTCCGCTGCCTGCCGCTGCCGCGTGCCGCCTGCCCCTCCCCCACTCCCCCCTAGCCAGGAGGGTTGTAAAAGAAGGCCGAAGAAGGTGGTCAGGAGGGTGGGCAGGGATTCCTGGCGCAGCCCCACAGCACCACTCGCTGTCGGGAAGGAGAAACGAGAGACCCTGGAAATCGAGCTGGGATCAGGACAGGGGTGAACGGGGGTCCACAGGGACACGATGGCAGACACTCCCACCAGCACAAGCCTTCTGCATTAACCCGCGCTCCACCGCGCAAACGCTCCAGCACCCCCAGGGCTCCCTGCCCTGGAACTTCCCCTGAGCTTTCCTGCAGCCACTCACTTGCACCCAGGGGCTCAGCTCCCAGGTCACATCCTCTCACTCCCCCCTCAGCTCAGCCCTGTCATTCCACAGGCCTCCCTCACCTCACCATCCATGAAGGGGCCCTTAGCACCTCCCGACCAACTGGCACCTTCTCCCCCTTTGCCTGAGGACACACCAGCAAATGTACCCCACGCTTTCCACAGAACCTAGTGCACTGGGGATGGGAAGTACCATTTCCCCCACGATGACCTGGGAACGCTGGTGAATAGAGGCGCCCAATTCTGCCCTTAGGGCCCAGACCCACCTGTTCATCCTATTGGGGAGCCAGGGTCACAGAGAATAGTCACTGTGCAGGCAGGAGTCAGCAAACCCTTTCTAGAAAGGAAAGGCTGCAGGCACTGTGGTCCTTGCCGGCCATGGGTTCTCTGTCTCTGTGTCAAGTCCTGTCCCTTTGTAGAGCAACAGCAGGCAAGGCAACCTGGAAATAAAGGGGAGACCAGATGTGGACACCGTCCTATGTTACTGAGCACAAATGAGGGCACCTGCTGTGTCCTGGCAATTCGTGCCCCATCCCCTAGGGTGTCATCTCCAAGTGGTGTCAATTGAAGAGTCACAAGTGTGTCCTACCCTGCCTGTGGCTTCTGGGTGTGTGGATGTGATGGATGTGAGTGGGGGTCCCATGGTTCAGGGCCTACTCTCCCCTCCTTTGCAGCTGAGTGGCATCAGTGATCCTCCAGGGCCATCAGCAACTCTCCCTAAAGCCTCGGGTGTGAGCTGAGGGTGAGGGGGTGCAGCCGTGTGGTGTCTGGGGATCGGGGCCAACTGCTTGTGCAGCTTCTTGGTTCCCTGTGGCCCTGCCCCTGCCCATCCCAGGAGAACCACCTGCATCTTCTCACAGCCAGACCTACCTTCCTAATGACCTAGAGGGTGAGGAGAACACCCTGGGATGGCAGCTCTGAGGCTGCGCGGTCACTGCCCTCACATAGGGAGGCCCATCCCCACCAGGGCCCAGAGACACACCTGGAGCCACTTTTCAATCAGGAGATTTTGCAGCTGTGAGTGGCACAGCCTTGATTCTGAGCACTGGGGACCCTGTTGTGATTCTGCAGTTGGAAATTGCAATGAAATCCACATAGCACCTTTTCCAATCACACATGCCTCTGGGATCTTAGGGAGTCCGGGGTCAAATAGCCGTAGTGACAGGGCCAGCCACACTCCTCAATCACAGACTATGTATGGCTGCACCCCAGCTCGAAGAGCAGGGTTGGGTAGTGACAGGGAGGTCATGTGACCAGCACAACCTGTAATAGTTACTAAATTAACTACAAACTCTATCCATTCCTGGTACAAACCCAGGAAATGTGAAATTACCATCGAACGGGTCTATGAGTGCAGCACATCCCTCTAACTGGACCTGACACAGGTGTCCATCTGTTACTTTGCCCCAAATGCACCTCATGAGTAACAGGGGAGCAAGCGAATGCTTCAGATCCCTGGGAGGAATCAGGTTGCACACTGTGTCCACCAGGCGTTTCTGGATATTTGCTGTTTCTTGGTGAACAGTTAGCAGAGTGAATGCCCGTCTGGCTCCGTGGGGAGGCTGAAGCAGTCCCTGCAGTTGCTGTGGGTTGAAGGGGCCCACCAGGGGCTCTGGGCTCTTCTCCTAGTCATGGACTCTGGGTCTGAGATGTGGCTCAGTTGTCACAGTTGAGCAAAGGAGCTCGGTTATTTCCTGGGGTGACTACTTTCAGCTTCCAGGTCATCCATCCGTGCATTTTGTCTTTGCTTGCTGTAATTATTTAAGTCTAGCAGAAACCGCGTGGAGTCTCCATCCTTTTGGACCTTGGACCCCTTTGTTCTATGAGCCATGGGCATAGCTTTGTATGGCTGAGGTCCCCAGCTGGCATGGTGACTTCCCGAATCATTTCCATCATGGCACCCTCCTTCCTCCTGACAGTTGACAGCCTCCACTTGAGATCTGTTATTTCAGGATTTTCCATCCCCATTACTGCTGGGCACTCATTTCAGGAACAGCATCCCCTACCGCCAACCGCAGCCTTCAGCAACAGGCACCCCTGAGCTTCATGACAGTCTGATGCCTTCTCCCGGGGCCTTCTTTATATGCTGGGTAAACAGGAGTCCTCCAGGCTTCCCGTGAGCACAGAGGATGGACAATGTTCTGGATTTTCATGCTGCAGCCACTCTGGCATGGGCGCTTCTCTCAGCCTTTTGTTCCTTCCTCTACAACCCGCCACCTAAGAGCTGGGTTTTTGTTTCATGTGGTGTGAGTCATTCTCTTTCCAAGGTCCCAAGGGGAACCTACTAGCATATGAGAGGCACATTCCAGGGAACCTACTGTGTTTTGTTACCCATAATAAATAAACTCACTCTTCTCCAATGTTGACTACATCGTACCCACTGTGCCATGCTCCAGCATGCTCAGGGCGCCCTCCCACACTCTCCACCTCCTGCAGTCCACCTGGGCTGCTGCTGAAGATCCTGCCATCTAGGCCCTTCCTCCTGCAGCAGGCCTGGCACATCCCTGAAAAGGTCCTGTGCTAACCGACGTATGTATAGGCCTGGGCAGACTGGGGAAATGGACATGTTGGCGGCCCATGGTTCCGCCGCAGGCAGAGACCGCTGCCCAGGAAGAGAAGCCCATGCTCTGGCAGCCCCGCCCTGCAGGAAACCCTCTTGCTGTCACAGTGTTTGGGGTCTTTCCCCCACCCCAACACTCTCCGGTGTTTTTTCTTTTTTCCCGTAGACGCTCACTCTCTCTGGTACAACTTCACCATCATCCATCTGCCCAGACCTGGACAACAGTGGTGCGAGGTCCAAGTCCATGTGGATCAGAAGAATTTCCTCTCCTATGACTGTGGCACTGACAGGGTCTTATCTGTGGGTCGCCTAGAAGAGCAGCTGAATGCCACAGATGCCTGGGGAAGACAACTGGAAATGCTGAGAGAGGTGGGGCAGAGGCTCAGACTGGAACTGCCTGGCATTGAGCTGGAGGATTTCATCCCCAGTGGTAAGTGGAGGAGACCGAGGAGGGAATGGAGCAGACTGTGGGCTCAGGGGCTGCACCGTGTGCAGGGAGAAGACATTAGACATGGGGCCTCCATGAAGCCCAGCAGCAAGGGCAGGACCTGGAGGAGACAACAGGGCCAGATGAGAAGGGGCTCAGAGGAGGAGGATGTGGGGCAGGAAAGAGAATTTGTAAAGACCAGAGCTGATCTCTTTCTGATTGGGTACAGGACCCGTCAGGCTGCAGGCCAGGATGTCTTGTGAGTGTGAAGCCGATGGACACATCCATGGATCCTGGCAGTTCGGATTTGATGGACAGAAGTTCCTCCTCTTTGACTCAAACAACAGAAAGTGGATAGTGGTTCATGCTGGAGCCAGGCAGATGAAACAGAAGTGGGAGGAGGACAGGGAACTGACCGTGTTCTTCTGGAGGGTTTCAAGTGGAGACTGCGGGAGCTGGCTTCAGGACTTCCTGATGTGCAGGGAGAAGAGGCTGGAGCCCACAGGTGACTACAGGGGAGCACTGGGAGCGCCTGGAGATGCCGTCGAGTTACAGCCTTGTCTGTCGGTGTCTGTGGTGGGTGCGGGTGTATGGGCGTGAGTGGGTATCAGTGTTTGTGGGTGTGTGAGTGTGTATGTGAGTGTGAGCGTGTGAGTTTGAGTAAGAACATGACCCCTCATGGAGGACCCCTTTTGGGGGCGCCTGTGCTCTCCCAGCCTCCTCTCCCTTCTCCCTCCTGATTCCTCTTCCTCACTGCACCTGTTTTGCTCCCCTCACTGTGCATATCTCGCCAGCCTCAAAACTATGGGCATTATGTTGTTTCTAGATCTTTCTCCTTAGACTTCCCACCTCCTAGGATTACTTTTCCTTTCCTCTCCCCTTGGTCTGTTTCTGGAAATCCATCAAAACCACCTTCAATGCCAGCCTGGAGATCTTCCCTCTCCCGGCCTGGGTCATCACCTCTTTTTCTGCCACAGCAGGAGGGTGGGCTGTGCTGTCACCTTGCTTCCCTTGGCAGCTGTGTGAGCTCCCTGAGGACAGGGGACACCCCCTCTCCCTTCCTATCCCAGGACCTGTCTCTGGGGCTGCCCCATAGCAGGGGGGACAAAACCTTTGCCTTGTAGGATGACCTGGGGTGGCAGAAGCAGAGGAGGTGTGTCATCAAATGTGGGGCCTGGACAAGGGTTGTGATGCTTGTGTTTCCATTTCAGCACCGCCCACCGAGTCCTCAGGCACAGCCCAACTCAGGGCCTCGGCCACCACCCTCATGCTTTGCTGCCTCTGCCTCATCCTCCCCTGCTTCCTCCTACCTGCATCTCAGGTGAGTTCTTTAGAGTGACAGGTACTGTGGGCAGAATTGGGAGGGAAGCAAGAAGCAGGTGGTTGAGGAGGGAGATGGGGAAGAATTCCCAGAGTCCCCCGCCTCCCCATGGCCGGGACCTTTCCATCCTGTAATAAGACAGGTGAATGAGACCTCATGTCGCTTGTTGGCAATGACTTGGGCAACTCAGTCCTGAGTTCTGATGGATTCTCACCTTCAGAGGCTGGAGGGAAAGGAAGGGGCCCATATCAAGGCTCAGGGTCTGTCTAGCCAATTCAGGCCTGTTTCAGAGCAGGTTCCTATTTGGGAAGGGTGGTGGTGTGCGACCTGCAGGCAGCAGGAACTCAGACATGGGCAGTCCGCACAAAGGAGAGGAGCAGCATGGCCACTTCACCTAGGATGTCAAGGGAAAGGGCATCCCTGAAGGAGGCTAAGAAGAGAGTGATCTGGGGGAATCCCAGGACGAGGGGGCTGTGAGGGCCTTGGTTCACCCATTCCAAAACCCACATTCCCAGAGAAAGCAGCTTGGGTCCCAGCAGTTAAGGTGGAAGGTGAAGAGTAGAGTGTGTCCAGGATGAGGTTTAGGAAAAGGCCGAGCCACTGGAACCCATGGGATTGCCCGCGGGGCTCTGCGGCAGTGCCCCTGCCCTCCCGCCTCCTGCACACTCCAGACCCTGAGCCAGCTGAAGGCCCTGCCTGGAGCAGATGGACGCAGACAGGGAGCTGAGCTGCTGCTGGAGTTCCATGGTGACCACTGAGCTTGGCCAGGAATGAATGGGGCGGGGTGGGGACAGTTCCATTCAGAGCTATGGGTGCAGCTCCCAGGGTGAGGAGAGGCTGAGAGTGAAGGGGAAAGAGCAGGTTTGCCTGCAAGCCCACCCAAGGCCAGGGAACATGGATCCAGAGACCACTCTTTGGACAGGACGCCCCCAGGTCCTCCAGACCCTTCTGTGAGAAAGAGGAGCAGGCCCTGAGTGAGGGTGCAGACCCCTCTTTCCCAGCATCAGTTCTGAGCCCCGTGGGCTGTAGCAGGCCCTGGGCTGGCTCTGTGATGTGGTGCAGGAGGGAGGAGGTTGGGAGGCTGCAGAGCCAGGGGGAGGGTTGGAGGGAAAACATGGTCCTTATCTGGGGAAGAGGCTCCGAAATGGGGAGGGCCTGGGAGGGATCACCCAGGAGAACAGACCCAGGTTTTTCTCAGCCACTTAAACCAATGCTTCATCTTTCTGAAGGTGGAAGATGACACCAAGCAGCCCCTGTTAGCCTGGTCTGCCTCCCGCTCTCCCTCAGAGAGGCTGCCTGTCTACTCACCACTGTGCCTTTCTGGACAGCCAGGAGTTCAAGCCTTAGCAACCCTGAAGCCCTCAGCGGATGATGAGGGCATTGGAGACCCAACCTCTCATGCCGTTCATTACCTTTGGTGATGGTCGTAGCAGCCATTTTTCTTCACATCCTCTGCCACTTTCTCTCGGTGCTAATGGATGGAATTTCTGCACAAGTTATAACTGGACAAGAAATCCCAGCAAAAAGCATTTTCTTTCTGCTTCGTTGATTGTGGGAAAGGAAACACTTCTCTGAAGCATGACCTCATTCTTCCAAATGGTATTGCTAGTAAAATCGCATGCTGGACTTCAGACCTCAGGGATCCTTTTCATGCACTGACCAAGAATTGTGTTAATCCTTTTTACTTTTATGATTCTGTCAACCATATAGGACTGAAGCAGCTTAATCATCACTCACTGTAATCTCCAACTCCAGGGCTCAAGTGATCCTCAACACTCAGCCTCTAGAATAGCTGGGACTGCAGGTGCATGCCACCATGCCCGGCAAGTTGTTTTATTTTTAGGTAGAGATTGGGTCTTCCTATGTTGCCCAGGCTGGTCTTTAACTCCTGGCCTCAAGCAATCCTTCCACCTTGGCCTCCCAGTTCTCTGGGATTACAGACATGAACCACAGTACCTGTTGTAGAAATTTTTAATTATTTAACATGAGAAAGTGTTAGATTCATGATTATTTCATTTAGCAATTTATTAGGTGATACTTACAGTTAAATAAAGATGTCTATTTTCAAAGATAAGGATTGACTTTGGAATTTCTGTTTATAACCCAGCAGAAAATTAATGGAATTTCATTTTTCTGCTGTGTTATGTTTAGTAATGCAACTAGGGAGGCTACCAGATACCTTTTGGCAACAAAGACTTTAAAGATCACTCTTCACTTACAAGCAGCCTGGCTGTCCGTCTTCACTGTCCCGAGGCCCTGGGGGCAGGCCGACATTCCTGCCTCTGTCCCTGCTTCCAGAAGGTGATGCTCTCTGGTTTGACCCCAGCCCACTCCACGTTTAGCAGAGGCTTTCCTCGTCAGTACTTTGGAGAGCTTGCCCTGGTCGCTAACAAACTTCGTGCAGCTTCTGGGCACGCCATTGGGACTGTCAAATGTTCAGCCATGGATGTGCAAGCACTTGAAAGGCTTTGGGGACCTTGCATGGAAATTATGAAAAGGAACATCGCCACCTACGAAGAACAATTAGTCGTCTTGTTTGGAGCAGACATGGATATTGTTGAGCCGACTGCATGAAGCGAAAGTATGGAGCAGGAAGACCTGTAGTGACAAAATTACACAGTAGTGGTTACATCCACTGAGAATGTATTTGTGTGGATGCCAAGCATTTTCTGTGATTTCAGGTTTTTTTCCTTTTTTTACATTTACAATGCGTCAATAAACAGCAGGGATTTAATAGTCAGTAGGCTTTAACATCACTTTCTAAAGAGTAGTCCAGAAAAAAATCAGCGTACTGATAAAATGACTTTGTACTCCACAAAATTATGACCGAAAGGTTTATTAAAATGATCGTAATATATAGAAACTATCTGTGTTTAAGAAGATAATTAAAGGATATTATCATCAGCGATATGTTTTGTACTTATTTAGACTGATATCATATTAGTGACTATCCCCATGTAAGAGGGCACTTGGCAGTTAAACATGCTACACAGCATGGCACCACTTTTTTTTATAACTCATACATAGTAACATTTTAATCATTTTTGTTTTAAAGTTTTCTAGCTTGATAAGTTATGTGCCGGCCTTGGCCTATTGGTGAAGTGGTATAAAACATCATATGCAGTTTTAAAACTTTTTATATTTTCGCAATAAAGTACATTTTGACTTCTTTGGCATAATGTCAGTAACCTACATATTCCAGTGGTTTTATGGATAGGCAATTTAGTCACTACGATAATAAGGAAAACAGTCTTTTAGATGAGAGATCATTAATGCATTTTTCACTCATCAAGCGCATAACTGCTTCCTTTTTTTCATTTTACAGTTCTCTATATTCTATATCTTTAAAAACTTGATCCTGACATTTAATGTCACAAAGTTTTTTAAAAAGTGATTTAAACTTAAAATCTGACTTTTTTTTATTCTTTACTCTAAGATCTTATCTTTTAAAAAAAACTCTCCTATACCAAAAATAATTTGGGACCTTTATCAGCATGCCCACGGCTGATTTCTTTGTTGTTTACTAGGCGTACACAATATGGTCCTCTGCAGACAGACATCTGTTCCTTGGGTTCCTTTTCTTTCTTAGGATGGTTGCAGACCCACAATCTCATTGATCAGCAGCCAATGCAGTTTGTTTTCTGTTTATTTTTAATTCTTAAAAACATCCTCCTAGGGTGACAGAAATAAATTTTTATGAGCATAATCCTATGTAAAGACAAAATGAATTTCTGCCTGTACCACATACATCATTAGGCCTTGCCATTGCTTTAATGTAGACTCATAGCTGAAATTAGTGCAGAATGAAGTCAGATGTGCTAGATTTTCATTGTTCATTGATATGCTCAGTATGCTGCCACATAAGATGAATTTAATTATATTCAACCAAAGCAATATACTCTGACATGATTTCTAGGCCCTGTGACCCAGTGTCTACAGACTTTAATTCTAACCAGTTGTTTGCTTTTAAATGAGCGATTTCGTTTTGGGAGACAGGTTTCAAATGAACACACACGCACGGGCACAAGTACTCTGGGCTAGTGTAGCCTTATGGTCCCACTTGTACATGAAAATGTGGTTAGATGTTAATTGGATAATGTATATATAAGAAGTTAACAAAGTATGTAAAGTGTAGCTTCAGCCACATTTGAGAACACTGTTTAACATTTTTGGAAAACCTTCTTGTAGGCTTGTAGGAAAAGGGAGCTCTCTACATGAAGATGACTTGTTTTATGTTTCAGATTTTGTTTTAAAAGCCGTGTCTGATAAACAAGAAAAAACACAATAGAACTCCAGATTCCTGGTTCATCATTCTGTATTCTTTTTCAAGTTATCTATTTTGTTGCATAAAGTAATTGTGAACGATTCATGGAACAGCAAACGCCTATTTAATAACGAACTCTGATCAAGGCTATAAATGCCATTTACATTATTTCAGTATTGTTGGTTATATTTAAATTTTCCTTATAATAATGCACACTTTTATAATAAGATACATAAATGATTGTTTTTCATGAGAGAAAGAAAGAAGGAAGGAAGGAAGGAAGGAAGGAAAGAGAGAAAGAAAGAAAGAAGGAAAGAAGAAAGAAAGAAAGAAAGAAAGAAAGAAAGAAAGAAAGAAAGAAAGAAAGAAGAAAGAGAAAGAAAGGAAGAAAGGAAAAAAGGAAGGAAGGAAGGAAGAACGAAAGAAAGAACGAAAACGAAAGAACGAAAGAAGAAAGAAAGAA